ATACTGGCCAGCACACACCTGAGGACTTACTAGACCATCTCCAACCAACACTAGACCCACCAGGAATGTATGATTCATCACTCAGGAGGACATACCTCGATGGTCCACCACCCCAGCAGCTAGGAAAGGACTCCCATACTCCACTAGAAGAAAGGGGGGTAAAATGTGTTGGAGAGTCCAGAGAACTGCATCACTGGAGACAGTGCAAGGGGTGACCACAATATCCTAACTTGAAAAGCAGAGCTGCCATGTTGATGGAGTCAGTCCACCAAAACCTGGCGGCATCTAGAATTGTACACCAGATCCATGGTAGAAAGTCTCAATGCCACAGCAAAGATGGGCAGCAATCTATCTGCTTTATTCATGTTAGTCCATGAGTGTACTGTCTGGGACAAATATATTTATGAACCAAAAACCACTAGAGGGAACCATTAGTAGCCCTGCAGAATACCTCATCTCTACAGTATGCATAACCCAAACCTGCGACATAACTGTTTAGTCATAGATAACAATAAAACAGACACACACAACCAACACTTGGTGGCATACAGAATTGCACATCAAGTCTGTTGTAGGAAGATAGCATGGTGACAGGATAGACAACACAGATTTTCAGAATAAAATTATTATTGGTCAGGCACCACTTTTCACAGAGTGGGATCCACAATACACTATCAAAAGGCCCCTGAAAAGGTAAGAAAAGTTTAAAAAAATAATAAAAAAGCAACCTTTGACAATACCAAAAATGTGAAAATTTAAATAAATAGTAAAGAAAAACAAAATCAGTAGTATAATGGAAAACGTTGACAAACCTGTGAGCAAAAATCAGCATGTCTGTACAGTACAACTGCCAATCGAGAGGTGATTAACGAGTGCAGATGTGAAGAAGGCACTGGTTATGATTGGAGTGGTGTCTCGCTCCTATTTGTGGAGAGCAGCTGCATGATCATTTGCATGTGGATATGCAGAAGCAGGAGGTGGAAGGCTAGTGGCATGTGCTGAAAATTTGTGTCGAAAGATGGCAGTGCTAGTTGAGAAAAGCTATTTTGTGAGAAGAGGTAAGATATCGTATCAGAATGATGTTACATCTGTTGACCCGCATGATATATGAATCCATTCTTTCACTGAATTGTAAGGTAAAATTCAGGTTAAGGAAGAAAAAAAAGAAATTTATATTTAAAGATGCAAACATACCATCCTTTGATTACACAAAGTTCCCAATTAAACAATGTACATTTGTGGAAAATATAAAAAATAATCACAGGTTTGATTGAAAGATGAGAATTTTCCAGTACTTTTTTTTTTTAAATCAGCCATGCCACATGTCAAGATACATTGACTCCTGAAGATCACAACATGAACAATGCTAATATTCCAATAAAACAGATTAACTGAATATTCGTATTTAACATACAACTAATATTCTTCTGTCCCCTGGTCACTGCACAAAAACAAACTGGCATTAAACTAGAAACTCTGGATCTGAGAGTTAATAAAGTGAGCTTATAGACAGGATAGGAAAATGTCCAATACCTTTAGGGCATAGATTCTACACTTCAAGAAATATGAAGGACTTGGAATGTGCAACAACAGTAGAGTACTTTACAGTAAGCAAATAATCATACTTTTAAAATAAAAACTATACTAGAACATAAAAGTATCCACAAGAATGCATGTATGCAGAATTCTCTAAGGGTCAGACACTTATCTCTTAAAAAGGCTCTTTACTCATTGCTAATTTCTGGAAATTAATACTAAATAAAAATAGATTTAACATTTGAAATAGTTTTATTATATAATTATACAAACATATTAATAAATAAAACAATAACTTTTATAAGCAACTTTGTAAACCAAATTTGCTATGTTAAAAATAGAACAGTAGTAGTAACAATAATGATGTCATTACACTATAGTCATGTGGCTGTTTGACATTTTTTTTAAATATGCTAAGTTACTATAAGGTGCTACAAATTTCCACTTGTCTTTAAAAAGGGGGCATATAATAATATAAAACTCAAAAATGCTCTTTTCGAGTAAGGAGCAATGGTGTATTAACAGTCATGATGTTCTTGTAAAATATGAGATGGTCATCTTGACCTCTAGTATGCAACATTGTTGAGACATGTTATTTATTCAAATTTGGGATTTTTTTGTAGAAATAATATTTCACTTTTGAGGGAAATCACATATCAGCTAAATTTTTAAGCACACACCTGTATGATGTTTCTGCTGTCCCACTTGACTAAGAGTTTATGAGATAATATTATAAGTATTAACATAAAACAAAATGACCACTCCAAATACAAGCTTAGATTATGCATTCAAAATGTGATTGGTGACTGCCAAAATATTTTACAGAAATAATGAAGATAAGAAAGTAACTCATTAATTGCAGTGAAATTCTAGGATTTTTGCTTATATTATGATATTACCCGGTAATTAAACAAGAACAACTGATCTTTAAAAGTACAGGAATCATGAAATTTTACAAAAATATTTTTCTGTGGTATCAAGATAGGACAAATCATTGTTACAGGACCTGTCCTGTCAATGACAACCATCTTCCACTCTTTAGCCCTTGAAACCAAAATGTATTTTTTAGTAAAGATTATCTAAGGTGTACAAGGAAATCATTAGACTTTAAACTTTACCTTGACACAGTATAGGTGTTTGATCTTACATTTTACTCCTTTTACTTTAACCCTTTCACTGAAGCTGGGACATATATTTCCCAGTGTTCCACCTCCTCACACTACAAGTGGGGAAAAAGGTTTCCAATTGCCATTCAAAATTGCCGCACGACATATGAGAGTAGTAAAATGGGTTGGAAAGTACTTTACTGGCATCCAACGTAATGTTGATATATGGTTTCCTTCAATGTTTTGCACTCAGCCCTTCAGTAAATAACAAGATGCCTAAGCAAAATGTACAAAAACTGCATGCCAACTGTGTCCACATCACAAGAGCAGCAACCCTAATTACTATGTAAATATGCTTGATGTGCTTGACTCAGCTTAGAAGATAGTGAAAGTGAGTGAAGTTGTGTTCAAATGTGTGATGATGAAGAGGCAATGAGACAAGAGGATAGCAATGATAGTCAAGATGATGAACCCTGACCCAGTAAATAGTGTCGACAATGGGAAACATTTGACCCAGTCACAGTGTGAGGGGGTGGGAGCACTGGGAATATAAATCCCAGCCACAGTGAATGGGTTAATATTCAACGTAACCCATTTTTTAACAGCTTGGTTCATTAAAAAAAACTGTTAAAAACTTCAGTGATTTTTTGTGAACCATTTTGTTATCCATGAAATTTTTTATGAATTTTTTATTATTATTATTATTACAATGCTTTATTATAGGAATTTTTATTCAGTAAATTTAGACAATATATTTTTCTACATCAATGTAAGATACAACATTTAATGCAAATGTGTGCATTTCTTGATAAAAAATTATTTAACTACACCATTCCAACATGGAAGAAATTCATGCAACTACAGTAATACAAAATCTGAACAAAGAAATTGTTAAAATCTTCTAATGAAAAAAGAATTATATGTACATTTTGAGATACAATCTTTAAATCCCAGTGAAGGTCACCTGACTAGAGGTGTGCCCACATACATATAATTTCTTTATCACTTACAGCAAGTTCAACCATTTCTGTTTTCAGATATCATGTTAATGATTTACATAACCTGTCAAATGTTGTTGCATTGGCTCACAAGTTGCTCAATGCAACTAAAAAGCACAACTATGTAAGGTCTGATTTTCATATTCCCCACAAATATAAATGTATATTGAACATTGTTTTTACAGTTAGTTATATTGACAAACAATACAGACTTCTGTGAGTTTAGTTTGCTTCACAACTTTTTACGGTTGGAAAATTTACTCAATAAGTGGGTAACAGAAAATTTGGTACGTTGATCAATAGGTACCTTTCAAAATACACTAGCATCACACAAATATTATACAACAATTTAAAAGCATTGTACATACAAATGTTATACATTTCAAAATTTATGATAATGAACTATACTTACCTTTGAACACATCTATCTGAAAATTCATGCACGAGAATGAAAATTACCAATAAGTCGTCTCATTTCTTATAAAAAAATACTTGGTACAACTTATAAATACACCCCTTATGTATATGCCAAGGTTTATGAATTATCTTAAAACTTCTGAAAAGGAAAATGAATTACACCAAAATTTCTCTACAAACAAAATCTTACAATTTAAGATTATCAATACCAAAGTACATTTTCTGACTTTATTATTATGATTAACATTGTAAAAATTTGGCCTATACACTGTACCTGGTAACTACAAGATCACCAAAGCACAGCCTTCATGGTCTGAATGAATAAACCAGAATATTAAAAGTTTCTTTAGATCAAAACATATAATCAAATCTAAGAAGAGACACTTAAGTGAGTCTGAAAAAAAAAAAATCATAATAAAATTAAAATATCATTCATTTACACCAAAAAATCTTACCATTCTTAATATTACAAGTGGCTTAGCATGAAACAAATTACTGTGAAAAATGATGAACCTAATCCGAAAGGTTACAAGTTAAATTGTGTAGTATCAATAATAACAGAAAAGCTGACAGTCTAAAGCTAGGGATTTTTTTTAAAATTTCCTCTCTTTGGTTTGTTTTCATTTTCTTAACATTTACTATAGTTTATTTGATGTACATGTACTGCTTTTTGGATTAGTGCTATATCAGTGTTCTGACTTCTGTATCATTTAACTTTAATTAAACTGTTATGTATTGCATAAATAATTTTTAGTTATGGCAAACTGAAGCAGGGTAAGTACAAGTTATTTTAGTTGAAACTGAAGTAAGAGTATAATTATGTCACAGAAAATCTAAATATATACACTGAGTGGTCACAAGTAAATAGACACCTAATTTTTCGTCATTTAACTGATTTATGCTAACTAATTTGTGTTCACAGAGTACTATATAAATGAAAATGGTCCTCACACTAATTATCTTGTGCTACAACATGCCTAGAACTCAAG